ATATCTCTCTCTCTCTCTCTCTCTCTCTCTCTATGTTGATATATATATATATCTCCAAAAAAATTTATAAAGATTTTTTTTTATGCAAACCCTAAATTAATAGTTGATATATATATATATATATCTCCAAAAAAATTTATAAAGATTTTTTTTTATGCAAACCCTAAATTAATAGTTGATATATATATATATATATCTCCAAAAAAATTTATAAAGATTTTTTTTTATGCAAACCCTAAATTAATAGTTGATATATATATATATATATCTCCAAAAAAATTTATAAAGATTTTTTTTTTCTTGTATATAGTAAGGGAAAATAGATAAGAGGAAAAAAAAAAAAAAAGAGGCATGAGAAAGCTCAATTTTGAAATGAAAATTCTTATATTTTTTTTTCTTGATTTAAAATTTTTAAAAGAAAAGAAAATCATCACCTTTAAGAATTTTAAACTTTAAATTTCTTAAAAGAGTTATTTTTCCCATTTTAAATTTTGAAATCTAAGAAATGAAATAACATAAATTCAAAATGGAGCTAAAGAATATTGATCACTCAAGTTGTGGTGAAACTAATAAAATCTTTTTAAATTATCAATTATCCTTTTTAGAGTATTTCAATTATTTTGACATTTTTTAAAAAAATTCTAAAATATGACACAAATTCTTAATACTTAAGCCTAAACTCTTAGTGGTCTCTATTTTCTATTTTTTTAATAAATTTATAAAGTTATCAGACACTAAAATCTTTCAAAACATTTAAATAAATTATTTAAAAGAAATTGGCACAAAAAATCACACAAAATTGAAACATATTAATTCTAATATTTGAGCATTATCATTTAAAATGATATTTGCCATTAATCTCAAAAAGCAAATCCAATAATTTTAATATAAATGCAATATATATAAATTATAATTTGCACTCATGTCAAAGCCCTAAATTGAGCTGCAAAATATTTCTCATATATTATTAGCCCTACATCAAAGGGCTTTTTTCTCCTTTATGATTGCAAAAGCTTCCTTAATTCTTTCTCCATTTTGTTACTGTTCCTTGTTCACAGTGTAAAGGACATTGCCACATGCAACCACACTGTGTTCATATCTTTGCACATATAGGTAGCCACCCACAATTAATCCATTAATCTCTCACTTATCTCATTGCAACAATTTTCTTAAATGATTAATCACTTTCAATTAATGCATGAAAAGATTATTAATTTAAAATTCTTTTTGAATAATTAGTGATATCATTTACATAATGTAATTTGTATTATTTGTAACCATTATTATGATTATCAAATATGTATCCTTAACTCTTCATTTCAAAAATTTTCTCATTAAGGAAATGCATTATGGATGTGGGTTGGCCACTTTGGCCATGGCAAGATAATATTCATGATGAATGATAGGCTCTTTTAGCCTTGCCTTGCAATAGATGTAGCTCATATTGTCGCTTAATATTGCATCTATCATGCATAAAAAAGTGACATACATAACTCTAGTTTGCTACTTTGCTCATAGCCCTTTTGATCATCAAGAAAATATGAGAAGAAGACCTCAATATAGACTTTATCTTATGTAATAATCCTTTTTTTTTTAAATAGATTTTTTAAAATGAAAAAATTGAATTTCTTTGCCGTTCCTTGTCGAAGAAGATAAGGGAGGGAGGGAGAGAGAGAGAAGGTTGTTCGGCTATTTCGCCTATTAATTTTGCTAAAACATTTCTTCTATTTGTTGCAACTCAAATATGATTTTAATTTCAATGATTTTGATTATTATATAGATTTTTTTATATTGAATATATTTGATTTTTTCCTACTGCATTTTGATTGGGGCATTTGAATAAGAAATAAGGCTGGTTGTTAACACTATAAAATGGGTTGACTATTAAAACATATCACACCCTGTGGAGGAGGGTGGGCCGACTGGCTTTCCTTTAAAGATAATTTGTAATGTTATCCCGATTATAGCCTGTAATAGATGACTGATTACGCCAACGGACAGAGAGTGACGACTTTTTATTGATTTAATGAAGTCGCATGTAATGATAATTGATTAATTGGATAAGTGATAATTGATATGATTGATGACCAACTAAAAATCAATTGGAAAAATAAATGTTGAAAATATCACGTTAAAGTTGGATGCTCTGCCTTGTTAAATAGTACATTGATGCATGATTGATAGATATATTAATATCATTGATAATATTGAATACTACATGAAAATCGCTTGCTACCAAGGGACAAAATCCATGAGTAAAAACGAAAATCGTCCGCTACAAATTTTCCTTTTATGGCGAAAATCCATATGACGGTAATTTGCGCGTCGGAAAATCTAAACCAGCCAAATTTTCTCGCCGGAAACATTTCTGACGGATTTTTTGGTGCAATTCCTGTGAAAAAATGAAGGTAACACATCATTTGCGCCGAAATACCGGCGGATATTCCGCTGGAATGCTATTGACAAGTAAACCGGCGAATTATCAGCCAAAAATACTGGCGTAAAGGATCTTCCAAAACTACCAAACTCTTTTTGTCATATCGTATTTGCCAGCAAATTTCCTACTGATAATCTGCCAGAAACTTGTAGCATGAAAAAAAAAACAGACTTTGCTCTTATGAAACTGATTTCTACAATACAACATGCATACAAAAGTTTCAATATTATACACATTTAAACACAAATCTTTAATCAAAAATATCATCAAATATTGAACATAAACATATACATATAAACAAAAAACAAGAAGAATATTATCAACAAAATATCCAAAACTTTACAAATGTCCAAAAATAAATAAATGTAGATGTTCAAAAAACAAATAAGTACATATGTCCAAAAACAAATAAGTATAAATGTCCAGAAAAAATTACATAACATTTAATCTGAATCAGTCTCCTCTCCTAAAGCTGCATTTTTTCCACTGAACTGCTCATTTTTCGCACTTCGTCTAACAACTGAGTTTGCTACTTCTGCATCTGCTGCTGCATCTGAACCTGCCAGTCAGCTTGTGCTTTCCTAACCTGCTCTAGCTCGATTTTAAGGACAACTTCTTGTTTAAGATATCGATTTCAACTTATATTTGCTCTACCACCAATTGCCTTAAACCAATCACATGTAAGATCATCCATAACTAACATTTATTACTTTCTTTAAGAGGTTTAGATATCTATTGTGGCTTCCATAATTCAAATTTAAATCTTCTTTATTATGTTCTTATTATTATATTTTTGCTCCATAGCACTTGCGTGTTTCTTATCGTTCACTCATAAGCAATCTAAGCAATTATTAACATAATCATCATACTTTTACCTATATATTTAATTTGCATTTATCTTATATTCTTTACACTTATGGAAAATCAATTTATAATTATCCAATATCATTAAAAATGCATTATTTGTGTTACCTTAGAGCATGTTGAGAATAAATTTTGATAATCTCATATAATCAATGCTCATAGACCTTTTTTTTTTTTGCAGAGATTTTTAGCTTCTTATTTCATGAAATTAAATAATATGCTTTTCTTTCTTTGCTTTATCATGAATGAAAATTAACTTAATTTCATGAGAACTTTTTTTTGGTTCTTCGTAGCATACTTAGATCTTCAAATATTATAAATTCAAATGACTATATCTCTAGCAATTTTTTTTTAGCTTCATTATCACATGTTAAGGAATGCTTAGCTTATTTTTGAGAACTTAGCTTAAATTAATTGTTGTAAGCCAAGTGATAGTCAAATGGTGTTATCAAGCTTATACAATTTAGTTTAATCTCCAATGCATTTTCTATTAGCTTGTAATTAATACTAGTATGTAAGCATTTATTAAAGAATATTCAAGTATTCATCAAAGCAAGAATTAATGAATTCTTCATTTGGTGATACCTTTCTCAATTTCTATAATATTTTTTACAATACTTCACATTGTATTTTGTTCAATCTAAAAGTAGTGATTGTGTTATTATATTATTAGATGATAGCCTTAGATCACAACAAAAGCCTTAAAATGTTTTGGATTGACATTTTATGGAACAATCTTACATTTGTCAAGTCTGAAACTCTAAATTGTAGAGCTTGAGTTGTGGTCCTCTCATCATATCAAGAGGTGGGTAACATCTCCCTTTAAAAAGAAAGTGTAATAGTTTCTCCACTAGCTCCTACGCGAATAACGCTTCATTTGAGACAGCTTTCTTAAGGCTTTTTGAAACAGATTTTTAGTACAAAAATGTACTAAAAAGCTGCTTTAAGAAGCGGCAAGAAAACCATCACAAACGAAGCCTAAGTAAAGACAGTGAAATCCTGAGAAACATCGGTGTTCAGGTCTAGATATAAACTAATTTGATGATGAATTGCATAAACCTCATAAGCATGTACAATGAAATTAATTAACACCAACATACTAAACAATTCTATTACTTGCTCGTTTTCTTAACCTTATACTTAACACCATCATAAATTTGTGTGATTACACTTGTTGGCTTCTTTTATCATATTACAAACTTATGTGATTGTTTAGTAATTAGTAGTGTGCTATATAATTTGCATAAGATCCATGACCATAGCTTATAGGCTTTGAGCTCAAAGAATCTCTCACTTAAATATTTTCCTTGGTCGATGGGAGCATTTACTATAACAACCCCAGCTTAAAATAGCTTGAATGAATTAAAAGGTAATTTTTCACTTGCATGATTATTTAGCATGTTGAAGAAGTCACATCAGAGTTTAGTCTTGCTTGTTTTGCTCCTCAACAATCATCAATAGCCAGACCATGAGATGAAGAGGAAAAAAGAAGAAAAGTTATGAGATGAAAGAATTTTTAGCTTTTGATTAGTGGAATAGATGTGATGGAACCCTTCTACATAATGGCAATTTAATTCTAAAAAAATCATAAGACAATAAAAAAAGTTCAATAGCATTTTAATTTAATGCAATTATAAGCAAGCTTTTGCTCTCTCTCTCTAGATCTCTCTCTCTCTCTATGACTGTATCTATATAGATATATAGACTATTTTCAGTAAGAAAATGGATATAAGAAAATAATGATAATTTCTTGCCGACACTAATTGTGAAGTGAGAGATAAAGGCTGAGTGGCTTTGCTTGATTGTCTCATCAGATAGGAAGGAGAGGCAAAAGCCATCAAACCAAAATGATCGGTGGTCGATAATTATTTAAAAAGAATAGGCTTACAATGCATTATTAGGGATGAACTGAATTGATTAAAGGAAGGAAAGAACCAAAAGTAAAGGACAGATTAACAGTTAAGCAGGCCCAGGAAAAGACTTTTAATTAATTCACCATTAAGCCTCTACTTGTGGCTTAAAACATCTCCATACACAGTGCAGACGCCAAATCAGAATAAAGCAGCAAAAGGAGTGGGCCACAAAGAACAGTATGGCATTAGGTCCCAAACCAGAGAGAGAGAGAGAGAGAGAGAGAGAGAGAGATGATTAAGGTGAGGACCATGAATAAGTGCATCATTAGGCATCTTGCAAAAGACTAGCTAGCAATTCCACCCAGCTCATACAGTGGAATTGCTGGAAGGAGGTTTCAATCTCATCGAATGGGAAAATTATTAGGTGCGGAGATTAGACGTAGAGGTACATCCGGACTCCAATAAAATGTTGACATGTGGAGTGGACACATTGGATTTATTTTTTACTTTATATATTTAATATGTCCACGGAACTTTAAGCCAAGCGCACCAAAAGCGCAGGTAAAGTGCAGATAAAATGCAAATAAAACATAGTCAAAGCGTAACAAAAGAGCAGTCAAAGCACAATTAACGTGCAGATAAAGCACAGTCAAAGCGCAGAAAAAAACGTAACAAAAGAGCTGTCAAAGCGCAACTAAAGTGCAGGAAAAGCGCACAAAATTAAAAGTTCAATCAAAGTGCACTCTACGTGTCAAATTTTAAGTGGATGTCCGGACGTATCTCTACGCCCGGTCTCCGCACCTAATAATTTTCTTGAATTGAGGGGCCAATGGTTTGAATCGACAAGCCCAGAGCATGAGCAGTACTTGATGCATGATGCTGTAGGGGACCTTTATTCTATTTGTAGCATCTCATTCTTACAGATTATAAGCATTATAATTTTACTTCATCCATTGTCCTGAACGGTTATAAGCTGCAGCATACAAGAACTATTATTAAAATAAAAACTTCAGTAGTAGAGCCTGCAAGTGATTGAGAAGAAAATTTATGTAGAGCTTATAAGGCCCATATCATCCCATAAAACATGCAGTTCGGGTTCATTCTTGTTTCATCATTTCAATGGCAGGAAAGACATTGAGCAGAACTTTTTGAAGCAAACATGTCTTGTTTAAGTGATGAGATGCTGCAAATGAATGTGAGAGAGTTTTCAAGCCATACAAAAGGATCTAAGCTCGTAATGAATGTTGATGATAAATAAACCATTACGTATGAACAACTGAGGGTCATGCTTTAGTATCGCATAACAGAGAAAATATAATATCATCTAGTGACTATATTTCAAATGAACTACTTGTTATTCTAATGATTAACTACCAGCAGAAATAGTAAGGTGGTTATATGAAAGCGTATGTGGCCCTAAGAAAGATGGGATTTTCTCCGATGGATGGTTAGAATACGCACAGGGTATGTGACAACCTTGTGATGGCAGAGACTGATAGATAACAATGGGCATGCTATTGGATGAAGTCAAGACCATGATGTTAAGTAAGGTGGTGCCAAGCCCATGCATGAAGGAAGAGGATTGTGCCATGTAAAAGAGCTGACACGTGAAATGGCATGATGAATAATGGGTGTGGGAGATAACAAGTGCAGATATCACATTTCTTTACAGGCATGTTGTGGGGTTGCAAGAGACCCATTTGGGTCAGGATTCTTTGGTATGTGGCAGAGAAGAAGGCTCATAGGCTAATAGGTGGCAATAGGATTCCTTAGAAGGATAGGTGATAAAAGATAGTCCTAGTTGGGATCTTCATGGTGATCGGTTTTATAGCTTGAGGTAAGCTTGTTGTGATGCTTTTTGGGGCTTCTTGTAGAGAGTTGGGTGTAGTCAAGTCTTAATAAGTGTTGATGACTTTCCTTGAATTATACACAAATTATTACTTTAACTGATTTCTAATGGATTGGATCTCCTCTTCTTCCACATGAATGTAGCTTTGATTTATGCGGAACCAAATAAATCTTATTCTCATGTGTGTTTAACTACTCTGCATTATTTGTAGTTTAATATTTTTTTCTTCTAGAGATGCTTCCACAATTAAATCTGATGTTTCAATTAAATAAACTATTTTCATAGTCTAATTCAGAGCATGATGGCTATAAAGTTTGAAATCAAAAAATTTAATGACACAAATAGATTTTAGTTTTAGAGAACTAGGATCATGGTATTCTTATCCAGCATGAACGGGTGAAGGCATTCATGGGGCATTCAAATATGCCTCAAAAGATGAGTAAAGATGAAAAGATATAAATGAATGAAAAGTTCTTTTGGTAATATATTATCTTTGATTAATGAGGTCTTGATGGAGATCTTAAATAAAGAAACCGGAAATAAATTATTGCTCAACTTAGGCTTCGTTTGGGACGGCTTTCTTACTGCAGCTTTCTAGTACAAAAATTACTAGAAAGTTGCTTTAAGAAGCAAGAAGAAAGCCGTCCAATATGAAGCCTTAGTCTTTATAAATGACCAAAAGCCTTTCCAAAAAACTTTATCAAAAGTAGTTACTCTATTTGATCTGCATTAAGAAATTCACAATTTATTCAGATTTGAATTAATTTAATTTCATTATTTGTAATTTGAGAAATATTTATGGGGTCATTTAAGATAAAGGATCAAGCTCAGCTACAATTGTATGATTTTATGATGCGTAACCCTTCAAAGTTCTGCGAGCTTCAGAGTACTCGGCTTGAAGGGTAGTAGACATAGAAGAGATCTAAGGTAGTATTTTCAAAATATTGAGTCAAGGGGACGAATTATTATATTGATATGATAACTATTGTGTTCGGTTCAATACGCATTGAATAGAATATAAGAAGCATTTCTTTGGATCAATAAGCCATGGAACATTCCACATTGTAACTTTGAGACCCATAACAAAGTTGAGATTTGGGCTTTCTCGATTTTTGTGAATAGATGGATCAAAGACATCCTAGACGTTCATGCAACTGGTCAATCAAATTGCATGTGAACATCTTCATGTCCATGCCAAGAAGTTCTTGTGATCCGTCAATCTCCTTGGTTTGCATATTTTGGGATATACTTTGCAAACATGAATATTGACAAAGGATATATCTTAGAAGGAATGATATGGACTGCAAGAAACATTCTTAGGAGAATTGTCTACTTACGTTAGTGGGGAAGCCGACCCATTTTACATCTCTCATTTATCAAGTAGCAAAAGCATTCCTAATTAGGGTGGATGATATCAGTGTCATATTGTTGGTCGATGTTATGGTAAACATATTATGAGGGTTTCATGGGCTTCTTATTGAGAGTTGGGTGCACTCAAATTTCAGAAATGGTTAATGAATATCCTCGAATTATATATGATTGGCTCGCACGCTTCTCCTTAACTCATATCTCCTCTCGCAAACCTCGTCTCCCTCACATGCTGAACAAAAAAAAAAGAGAGAAATGCTAAAAAATGAAAGCAAATAAAAAGGGGGAGAAATTTCAAAAGAAACGGGAAAAAAGGATGTTTTTTTTTCTTGCCATGATTTTATTATTGCTTCACATTGCCATCGAATGCAGCACACAAAGGTAAAAATAAAAAGAACAACCTCAAAAAGTTAAATATTTGTTTTCATTATTCTAATGTGGCGGAGAAATTTGTATGTATGTAATCGTGTGCATCATTCCAATGAGATAGAGAATCTTACATATTTTATCGTACATGTGCTGAAAGCCCATACATACTCAAACTTATGTACCCATACGCATTGTTCCAACACAATGAGAAAAATCTAAAATAATAATAATAATAAATAAAATAAGTACTCATAGACATTATTCCAATGCGGTGAGGAAATACCTATGCTCATTTTCGTGCATGTATTGAGTGCCTACTTATGATTTTTAAAGTGTATGGTATGAAGACTCTCGACCACAGTATCATAGATTCCAACCATAATATGCCTTTTTAAATTTGGTGGGAAGGCCCACCATTCCCCGTAGATTCACCTACATGGGAGAGACGCATAAAGAATGTTGAAATTTGGATTGAAAGAGCTTACAGGAAATAATTAAAAGAACCTTTTTGAACATAAGTGCAATAAGATGAAAGAATAAAGTGCAAGTTAAGAATAAAATTTTAACAATCTAAATGTCATATAAGCTATGTAGAGTAAGAATTAAACATGAACACAAGATTCCTTGTAATAAACTTGATAGCTTGCACACGAGCGCAGACAAAACTTCCTTACCGCCCCTCTATACTCAGAAGCTAGAATAAACTAACTTGAATGATTGGTCATTATGAATACAATCCCCCCTACTGTTTATAGCATGAAAATGGATTCTGCATGGGCAACTAATGCAAACAAAAGATATGACATTTCAAAACATGTGACAAGAATTTAATTAGCATAATTTGCTGCTCATACTGTAATATACATGCAAGTGGACAAAAAGTTCTCTTTTAAACTTGAAATAAAACATCGCATGCATCTTAATGACCAAACATTCATGTAGATAGCAAAATTCAAATATTTTCAAAACATGTATATGCATCTTAAAATAAACTTCAAACTCAATACCTCTTGAAAATAGTGCTTTTGCATTGCAAAAGAGTGAAAGTAAAGCATGCAAGTGCATCAAAAAAAATATTTAAGTGCATAAATAACGTACGAGGGTATTATACAAATACACCGAAAAGCATGTAAATGCACTCTGAAATTTCACCGAAAGATATACACTTCCAATAAAAGAAATCAAATTTGCCAAAACCAATTGTTTGCATGTGCTCCAATGAATATGATAATAGTCTTAACTTAAAGTACCGGAGTAAGTGACCCGAGTTGGCTCGCTAGTCAGCTTGAGTTTGACTTGTTAACGAACTTGCGAGCTGAGCTTATCGAGATTCGAGCTTCGAGCTCAAGCAGAATTTCGAATTCAAGTTCTAGCTCAGGTGCTCTCGGCTCGATTAGCCAGGGCGAATAGCGGGGCAAAGCACAGAAGCAGGCGAACCGCAAGCGGATAGAGGGAGAACAATGGGCGAAGCGCCATGTTTGCTCGTGCGAATGCGGATCGACGGCGGGCGATGTTTGTGCGTGTGGGCAATATTTGCACGTGTGAACGCGGATGGTGGTGACATCTGCGCATGCGCAGTGCGAACCCAGAAGGTGGATCGACAGAGTCAGACCGCGGAAAGCTTGTGAGCCACTAATCAAGCTCGTTTTCTGGCATGAGTTGAGCTCGAGCTCAACTCGAATTCGAGCTCAAGATTTGGCTCGTGATTTGAGCTCGAGTTAGGCGTGACTCAAGCTCAACTCGACTTGTTTGCACCCCTAACTTAAAATCATAGAATGCTACGCAAACTAAAAGTAAGATAAGGGTAAATCAGAATATAACTGATTTTTTGGAGAAGATTAACCATGAAAGATACCAAAACCTAAATCAGTAGATTTGTCAAATATAATATCCATTAGTACGATATGAGATTAGTGAAATGCTATATGAACATAGTAACTAGTTTTCAAGGTGTTGGAGAACTAAAGGGAGTTAAGGTTCAACATATGATATTTGCAAGAAATTGTGAACAAAATTAAAGTATAAATCAAATCAAAGCTTTTTTTATATAAGTAGCATGAAAAATAGTTCCAGATTCAAGAACATCACTTGAAAACCAAAAAAGTTTCATATTCAGCTTTAGATTCCTGCACACGCTCATCTAGATGTGCAAAAATATGCAAATGTTGCACAACCAAATGGAGGAGCTAAAATCAAATCAATGTGCTAACTAGATTTAATCCATATATATATTCACGACTCCAAAAAATCCACATGATCGGCATGAATCTCAATGCGATATTTAAATTAAAACTTATGGAATTAAATTCAGGATCATTTAAACTCCGATTTTTGCAAATTAATAGTCAAACAGAATGTCTTGACTAGACGGACCAATCGACGCCACAAATGATCTGATCTGACTCCAATGAGCTCAAATCACACGCTTTGAATTATGTTTGAAATTTTTTTAACATAAATTGATGGACCAAATGACTTCTAATTATAACATGCTGATAGTGAAATCGAGCGACTTGACGAGATGAATTCAATGAGTTCAAATGTTTCATAAATGATATATGATCAAAGGGATCAATATGGACCGTACGATAGAGTGTTTTAAATTCTAGCAAAATTTATCAAAATGTCTATTAAAAAAATGCTATAAATAGAGCCTCATTCTATAAAGAGCTCTCTTGCATTTCCTGGTTATCACCGCCGACGAACACCACCGGCAATCACCGCTACCATCTCTAGACTTTTGTCAACATCTAATCTAGTTGTTGGGTTTTTAACTATCCACCTCTGGAAACCAAATTTTTATACTCCCTAACGAGAATCAATCAATTGTTCCTTATAGAATTCCTTATTTTTCAATTGTGAGGAAAGGAGGATTTTTATATTTCATAGTGGATTATTGCGGTTGGGCCAGACTCTGTGATTTTTTTCCTTTATGATTTTTTAGATAATATATTTCTTATGTTCAACAATTTTTTCTGTACGTGTTGAAATTTTCTAGCACATAACAATATATATTAGAAACAGCATCAGCAAGTATGAGAAGCTTAGAATGATGCCCAAATTTAGGCTTTTAAGGTTCTTCTTGCTCAAGCTTGTCAAACACTTCCACTTCAGGCTCTTGTTGTGAAACAAGCATGCATGTTAGAATAGTAAATGCAAATGCAGTGATTTAACAGTAGAAATAATAAGAAATCACAAGAGATAAAATAAGAAGGTTCATATTCATTTTCACTCCAATCTCTTTTCTACAATGTGTTACAGTAATATATACATCCTTAAGTTGAGTGATAGAAATAGAGCAAGCATCCAGCCGTTGATTAGGAATAAAGTATTTAGCATCAAACGACTGTAATGATAGCTGCACGCACCGACTCATTAGAGTGCAGAGAACACAGTGATGGTGGAGCTCATTTGGACGTTGAGGTCTCATTAGTCTTTGTGCTGTCATTAGCAGTAGTGTTATCAGCCCACCGCAAATTAACTATCCGGCGAGTTAATTTGTCTCTAAGGTGATCAAACCTGGATATTGGAAGTCCTTTAGTAAAGATATCGACTAGTTGATCAGCAGTTGAAATGTGATGAACCAGAATGGTTTGATTTTTAATGTAGTCTCTAATGAAGTGGTTTGATGCTATAGTCAGAGCACGATATTTGGATTTGGTGGAAGAGCGGGCTACTGTCGACTGCTTTTTGGCACACCAGCTCATAAGATTGGAGCCCAGAAAAATACATAATCCAGTAATGGATTTGAGATCGTTTTTAACACCAACCCAATTTGAGTCTACAAAGCCACAGTTCCTAATTCCTGGGAGTGAGAGGTAAGCCAAAGGAAATGGTGTCTTTAATGTATAAAATGATACGTTTGAGCTTTTGGAAGTGAGTATTAAGGGGTGAATGCATATACTGGCATATTTGATTGACTGCAAATGGTAAATATGGCCGGATAATTGTGAGATATTGAAATGAACCGGCAAGATGACGATACAGTTGTAGGTCCGAGGATGATAGTTGGGCAGAAGGTGAAATGCCCAGTTTACTGGAAACAAGATTTTTGATTGGTTTACAATCTAGCATGCCGGCACAATGTAGGATGCTCTCTGCATAAGTGGATTGATGCAAAAGAATTGATGTATCAGAGTTGCATGTTTGTAAGTCAAGGAAAGTGTTGATATCTCCTAGATTTTTCATCTGAAACTAAGTGTGTAAATCAATTAGCAAGTTGGTAAGGATTCTAGAGTTATTTCACATGAGTAATATGTTATCAACATAAACTAGCAAATACAAGGAAACCGAGTGACGAGAGCATATGAGGAGGGATGGATCAGCCGTGCTGTGAGTAAAGCCCCAGTGAATAGGGTAGTCGGTGAAGGTAGAAAATCATTGTCATGGGGATTGCTTCAAGCCATAAATTGCCTTGTTTAATTTGCAGACATAATCTGAGTGGAACTTTGAATCCTGGAGGTTGCTGCATATATACGGTTTCCTTGAGTTTTCCATGAATGAATGCGTTTGAAACATCAAGTTGACATATATTCAAGTTATGCTGAATAGAGAGGGCTAAGAAAATGCGGATGGTTTGGATTTTGGCAACGGGGCTGAACATTTCAGTGAAATTCAATCCATATTCTTGGTTATATCCCTTAACTACTGGTCGAGCTTTGTATCTTGCAATAGACCCATCAAATTTTAATTTCATTCTATATAGCCATTTGCATACAAGGATGTTTTGAGTCGGATGGGGAGGGATTAATGTCCAAGTGCCTTGAGTTTGAAGAGCTTAAAATTCATCAGACATAGCTTGCCGCCAATGGAGGTATTTGATTGCAGATGAATAACAAGTGGGATATGGAGGATGGTTATTTGAATGTAGAAGATTGAGAATGGTGCGAGGTTTAAGGTGATTCGATTGGAAGTGAGTGAACGTTGGATGACATTTTTGGGGTGGCAGGGAAGGATTAATTGAGGGAGTGGAAGATGGAGGATCTGACGGGAGGCGAGAGGTGTGGGGAGAGTGGAATCATGAGGTGGTGAGTTATGCGGTGAGGAATGTGTTGAAGGAATTGGAGTAGGTTCTGGGTGAAATGATGGAGGATGAGCAGTAGTAGGGACAAGCGTTAAAGGTGGGGAATATGTAGGGGAATTGATGGCTAAAGGAGGTGTGGGAGATGAGGAAAAAGGAAATATATTTTCATCAAAGCTCACGTGAATTGCTGTGTAAACTTTGTTTGTTAATAAATTAAGGCATAAATATCCTTTGGAAGTAGGTGCAGAACCAAGGAATATAGATTGAACTGCTTTGGGATCAAGTTTGTGGTTGACATGAGGTGGTAATAGATGAAAATAGAGATAGCTGAAGACTTTGAGAAACTTGTAATCTGGTATTTTGTGGTAGAGAAATTCATAAGGGGATTTAATGTTGGTAGTTGGGGATG